TTTATCTTCAATATCCCATGCAGTCGGTAAAACTAATTCTAAATCTCCCATTGCTGTAGGTTAAAATTCAATTAAGATCTTTTGTTAATGAATAAAGTAATTTATACGTAGAATATTAACGAACACAATGTACTATTCACAAGCTAAACGATAAGTATGTTCATAACTTAATAATCCTTTTTAAAGTCTGTGTATAACTGCGAATAGACGATCAATTATGCGGTTAGCTGCGAATAAGGTTTTGTTTTACGTAATTAATACTAATACTGTTACTGTAATATATATATAGTTATTTGAGACAATAATAATAAGCATTGTACGGTGTGAGACTGGAAACGTGACCTAACGGCAGGAACGTGACCACGTGGCTCGGTAAATCCTTCCCGCCCAGAAATCCCAAGAGGATTAGGATAATTTGAGTGAAATGGCGGATCTTAGTAATACTGGCTATAAGGCCGATATTAGATTTATTGATGATTTTTGGGATATAGAAGATTCTTGGGAATGTAAATAATAGAATTCGCTATTATAAATAAAGGACCTTTTGGCCCTTCCCGCCTTTGCTTTTATTAAATCACTTAATCATAACTTTTCATAAATCTTATAATTACTCCTAATAAATCATACATGTATAAATTGAACATAACTCTTGATAAATACGCCCTCTAACTTGTCTATATAAACTAGTCGTTATAAAACACTATCCCAAACCTCTGCATAACCGTTCGCCCAAATCTAACACGCCTTTTTCGACACATAACCTAACATCTTGGTTACACGACGCTGGGTCTGACAGCGGTACCGTAAGGCTGCATTATGTAATTATAAGTCAAATGAATATCAAATAATACGTACAAAAAATATGTTATGTGAACCTGATGAAACAATGTTGGATTAGAGATTCAGGGTGCTCTCAAGCATCTTCCTGAGTGTGATATGAGATGACGCGCAATCATTACAATCAATGAATATAAAGATTGCGATCAATGATTGGGTGAACTCTTTTCATATTACGATTATTATGTCTCCAACAAACAAAAAAAATATTACCATTACCGACAACTTCAAATGTATTTGTTTCAACTGCTTTAAGTGTCCCTGCTACTTCTTTAGCAATTCCAAATAGTTATATTGTCCCTTCGGCTAATTACAATAATCCTGTTGTTCCTTTTACGGATTTAACAAATTATCATATGCTGTTATTACATTATTCTTCTGCGTCGCTATTTAACTCTTTAGTTTTAAATAGAACTAATAGCGAATATGAAGAAGTATATATTGAATTTTATTTAAATTTGTAATTTTTTATAAAGAATTAATAAAATAATTTTTTAGGTTTTAGCACGAAGAGTGAAAAAGTAATTTGTTGTTGACGGCGAAGGTCCATATTGTTAGAAGTGTATTTAGTGCAAAGTATAATGATTCGATCGTAAAAAAAAAATAAAAATGATTTGACAAAAAATAACAATGGTTCGATCGCAAAAAAAAAATTATGGGTTGACGTAAAAAAAAATTATGGTTTGATCATAAAAAAATAATGATTTGATTGTAAAGTGCTTGAATAATTTCACTCTATGGTAAATTTTGCGCATCTCTATAAAGAAAAAGATGGTCTTTTTTTTTTTTGACTGTGGTGATAAACTCTCTTGACCAGCTGAGCTAATTTTTATTAATTAAAATTTATACACCGATCTATTGATTAAGGCGCTCAGAAGACTCCGAAGTTTTTAATTAAAAAAATGGAACTAAAAATACTTAAGCATATCAGTAAATGCAAATAGTGGTAGCAAACTAATTAGTTTATATTAATCAAAATCAAAATCGCATTTTATTTCAGAACTGTGATCGATATTTTATATTAAATATAACTTATAAGTAAAAAATAATAATAAAACCTCTAAGCAATGATTGGATTCGAACGTGCCTTGAAAATGGTTCTTTAAATGGTTATGGCAATTCAATCTATATTCAATAGAATAGATAGCTGAGAATAATTAAATGTTAAATGTATTGCCATTATATTGCTGTATTGAAATTATATAGATAATAACGTGAATGCCAACCAATCAAATTTTGAGATTGATTTCGTCGATTGTATCAAAACGCCATATTCAAAATAAGATACTTCAAAAGTTTTTGACGTAAAGGGAAAAAAAATATAGATAGTGTATAAATATGAAATAACAATAAGTTTTATTATATAAAGAATACTGGTTATATTGTAAGATATAAGTGTCAGCTTAGAAGTGAAAACTGTTTTTTTTTACATTATGTGCTGCAACTTGTAGTGAAAATTTTCTGACATTACACTCTGTGATCTGCTAATAATTCAATTGCTTAAACGGAACAAAATAAAGACTTCAACCTTGAGTAGCTTTTATCGATTCTAATGTTTTATTAAAATTTTTCAAATCAAAAAATAATATCAATACATTTGTTTCTGCTGCTTATTTACGTAGTTTGCCCAATCTTCATATATTATCATACAATTTGTTAAGGGTAATAGAACAATTTATATATCGTTGAGAATAATTTTTGTTCTTTATTTGTAAAAAACAACAACATAATATTAGTATGATAATAAATATACAAACGAAAAAGTATGAATATTTTTGAACAATATAAAGTTTTAATAGGCCAATGCAAAAAAAAAAAGAATGAGACAAAAAAGTTAAAGAATGTAACTGGCCCCTTAACTGTTCATAATTTTCATGATCAAATCATAAATTTCATGATCAAACATTAGTTATCAATTATCAATCAATTAATCAGTCAATAGTTAAACGCTCCAATCTCTACAAAAATTTTGTTGACCAAAATGATAAATTTTATATGACATAAACTACTGTAATCAATACCTTATTGAATTGCACGTTTAATCGTTTAATGCTACCTTCCACTAATTAAAACTTAATTAGACACATTTTCGATATTTTAACCTATTAACCTATTAATTAAGATCCTAAATTACATCAGACCATTTTGGTTTTTAAATTGTAGTAACTTAAAATTATCGATAATAAAAATCTTATAAAATATCAGAAGAAAAAAAAGCAAGTAAAAAAAAAAAAAAACCTATTAGCGTTTTACGTACTATTGAGTTAAAGCGACATTTCCAATTCTAAAAATAATAAAATTAGACCAGTATAAGCAACCTTTTCACTTTAGCCCAGAAAAAGTATTTCTTTTTTTAATATTTTGGTCGGTTTACTCAACAATCTATAGTATTTATTATAGAAAATAATAGCAATACTATAATAAAAGCAAAGGAATTCAGCCAAGTTAAAAACTAGTAAAGATTTATACTTATTTCTGGTTTCATTCAGTTTGCCGGAGAAGACTGATTATGTTCAATTTTTTATATTATAAAACCTTTGGTCTTCTCTTAATATATATAGTTATTAGGTGTAACCGAATTATGAAAGGTGTGACCGTGATAAAAATTTAGAGATTATTCTAGAATCTCAATCTGTTATACAAAATACGATCTACCATTTGGGTAGGACTTATGGCTTCAGTTCAGTTGTTCATAAAAAAACATTGGTTATTATTAACTTCCAGAGTTGATGAACTATTTAAAACCTCACAATAGATAGAAGATAATATTGGTAGTGATGGTAGGTAAAACCATTCTGGAGATACTATAGTTAAATTTTCTTCCATGGGTAACGTTGTATTATAATTTGAAATCGGTGTACTTGAATTATTTGGACATGAGGCAATTCTATGTACATCAAATCCGAGTTTATGAGCCTTTTGTGTATATTCTTAATTCAATTTTTGAAAAACTGCCCAATTTGATCTAGTTTTTTTTTTTTACCGGGCCTAGGGCCTCTCCTTTTTTGTGGATAGAAAGCGCATATGAGTCCTCTTTCAATACAACAGTCACATGGATTATTGTCTGAGTAGTTGCATTTAACTTTTTACAGTGACTGCAAGCCTTTGAATTTTTAGGTTTAACTCTAGGCATGTGAAGGCATCACCTCTATCTCTATCATCGGCGTAGAAGATGACATCCCAACAGAAGCTATCATCATATTATTAAATTCACTATCAACTAAAGCTATCATATTACCAACAACATTTGATTCATCGTCGAAGTTCACTGGCAACTCTAATAGAAACCCATTTATTTAGGGTAAGGGGGAAGCAAACACCAACGTTTGTAGATGCGTTCGTTGATCTATTTATATATAGTAAACTTGAGGCCATTATTGTGAAACTCTAATTTATGTTACGTACGGATAAACGGATGTTGTCTTACTCAAGAATTATTTCGACATCGATAATCACTTATTAGCGGTAAATTTTTATTTATAATTTTTAGTAATCTCAAGCAAACGTCAACGCCTTTTATGCGTATCTGTTAATCCCATTTATATAAATTTGAGGCCATCATTGTAAAATTCCAACTTACGTTACATATGGATAAACGGATAATTGTCTTATAATTGGAAAAGAAACTTGCACACCATAATGGATAACATAAGATAACTCTAGCATTGTTCGAAAGGACGTAAAGTCAACCTAGGCACCTCTCTGGTGTGTGCACAAAACTTGGATTAAATGTTTTAAGCACCATCTATATGCATCAGTTTAATTTTATAAATACATCGAAGTGTTTATTCTGCATAATTTTATATACAGTCAATTCAGAATATAGCAGCCTTTTTATAATGAACCCACTCTATAACGAATTTTTTTAAAAATACTAAGAGCTGCTAGTTCATTATAATGAGAGTTGACTGTATAAAAACTGATATTATTAAATAGAAACAGACGAATTAATGAATTGTATCTAATCGGTCTATTGTTCTGGACATAACTTTTAATTCACTTAAAATTACTGATATGGACTTTCATAATTACTAATAAGTTTTATACTGTTTCCATTACGGTGTATTGATGAATTAAAGACATAAATAATTGTCCCCAAATCCAAGTATTTGTCGCTAAATTTATTATTTAATTAATTCAAAACTACACCCAAAAATTTTTTTGCAACCTGGATCTTATAACAACATAGTATCTAACCCATCTTTCCATATTCAATTCATCTTATAATTTTCATTCTTCTTAGCGATACGCCTGATTAAACATAAATTTAAATATTCATTACGTAGCAGTAGTATATCATAATTTAAATCATTATTATATTTTACAATTATGACATAATAAATCTAGCTCAGAAATCAAATCAAATTAACTTACTATCAGTAGTCAAACTTTTTCAAATTTTGGAGTAGTTTACAAATACGCTGTAATATAAATATCATAGTCGCCTCAATAAGTAAGGATACCCATATTTTTAATTTTAAAAACAAAATAAGTTGAATACTAGCTATTGGCAAAGATTTATCAGTTACGAAATGGAAACTGAATACGAAAATCGGTATGAGGCCGAAGAGATGAAGAAAAATAATAAACCCCAAAAAGAAAGAGATGACGTGGAGAATAAATATAAAATTGACGAATTACTTGCACAAATGAAACTTTCAAAATTACAAGCTGGGAAAGAACTTGTAAACACTTGCATGAAAGCTGTAACCTTGATTATCGATCAGAATAGTAACGTATTTCGAACATCTCAAGATCTTTTAAATCAACTCAAAGATGAAAAATTGCCCAAATCAACCAAGACTACTATTATTAATAAAGTTCTCCAGGTACTGTACGTATTTGCATTCATTATTTTTTTTGTTTAAAGCTATATCTCCGTATAAATCTACTTTAAATTATCATTTTAGGATTATATGAATACTAGAGAGCTTCTAGACTATGCAAAAAAACAAATAAATGAACTTCAGCTTAAACAAGAAAATGAATTTACAAAGTTCATTGGTTTCGCAGTTGACCAAGATATCTTCTCAGAATACATAGAATATACAACGTCTAGTGTAAAAAAATTTAGCATTTGCAATTTCTTTTATTTAATTTTTATTCATTTTTTGTCAGTAGTAACTTCTGTTGCTATTAAGAAAAGATACTAAATATAAATCTATTATAATACTGTAAAATTTGATTCTTATGACAAGTAATGTTTATTACCGTATGATTTACTTGTTACATACCAGTTTTATTTTATATGAAATTTTGTATAATTGGTCTAATATAGAGGAACGAACAGTGACTTGTTGAATTTAAAATGTGAGTTTAAAATATCAAAGGAATGTATGTATCATATACACTCTATAACAAACAGATTACATTAAATAATTATGCTTTATTAAAACAAGCTCATAAATTATTACGCTTTGAAATTCTTTACTTTTAAACCTGCAAGAACCATCAATAAATCTGCTGCGTTTTTCTATCTCAAGAATTTAAATATTGAATTAGATCGCGACCTAAAATTTATTTCGTGCAATTATCATACTTTGGTCTGAATAAATCATTCTAACTTTTTATATTCCTTTTCAATTTTGTGGAATGAAGTTACTATCAAATGGTAATACATATTCGATTTAATCGTATTAACAGGCAATTTAGGAAATATTTAATGTGTAACTAGACCTAATTTTAATTACCGTATAGTCGTGAAATAACGCGCAGGGTGTAATTTCATATTTTGGCCAGAATTATGCTTAATTCAGGCCATTATTCTTTTAAATAACGCTTATGTGCGTTATTATTTTACGACTATACGGTAAAACTTCAAAATCGCAGCTATCCCCGTATTTCAGCGACAATTTTTATGAAACAAAGAGTGATCATAGCGTAAGATGCCATTATCGCCAATAAGATTTTACTTATAAGATTACCATATTCAATAAAGGCTAAAAACATGGAATAGTAGGAATGTCTATTTTAGTTTTGGATATGTGTTGAACATATATTAAAAAGGATAAATCTAGACAGTGCCCCCATGCACTTTTTGCCCCCTAGCAAAACTTTAGCCTGTAATAAAATTTAAAATTAGATTAAAGTTAGCAAAATTGTGTAAAATTGCGAGAGGAACATTTTTGCTTAATTACATAACAGGGTTACTCTAGCAAAATTTTGAGATATTAGCGAATTTATGATTAAGCCTGCAATAAGAATTAGGGTTAGGTTAGAGTTAGGTTAGGGTTAGGTTAGGGTTAGGGTTAGGTAGAGTAGGTTAGGGTTAGAATTTAGGCTTAGAGTAGTGTAAAATTGTGAGAGGAACATTTTGCTAACAGGGGTTACCCTAGTAAAATTTTGAGATATTGGCAATTTTATAATAGGAGGGCACAAAGTGCATTGAGCACTAACTAGTCCAGTCCTATTGTCACAGGCAGAACAAATCGTGACCACCAAAAACGTGACCTAAATGTTGATCGGGACCTGGATCGATGCACGATCGACGATTGTGCATACAATGATGACGCCCCGGGTTTTTGGCATTTAGGATCGACCCAAAATTGGGTAAAACCCACATATTTGGGCCTCAAGCCCACATACAAGTCATAGACGGGCGTATCCCCTGATCGAAGAAGACAATGAAGTTTCAAAATGGCGGGTTTGTGGTAAAAGAAAGAGTCGGGTTAGTAAAAGTGGATAAGGTAAAAGTAGGAAAGCGAAGAAATAATTTACCCAAATCCGGTAAAACGTCCAAGTAGTATGGTGAACTTAATGAAAGTGGCGGAATTGATGGGTTATGAGCGGCAAAGGCGTAATAGAATAAAGAAAATATTTATCAGAAAGGGAGGTTAAAAATAGAAAACAGTCATAGAGTAAAATGGGCGTACTAGAATCTAAGAACGTTTGGTAGAGGTAGTTTAAATCGAAATTCCAAAAATAGCATAATTAGACGAACATTGTAAAATGTATAAAAGACTAAAAATCCATAATAAAGAAACTTATTTTTCTTGTGTCTGAAAAAGTAATAGTAGGAGCAAAAGATCAAGTGTTAGTAAGTTTCTTTCGATAAATAAAAACTAAACCTTAAATAAAAATACATAATATTCGTATACTCGCCAAATCATAACCACGCCTCAATCAAAGCCTAAAAAGTTGACGTAACACGAAATTTCTGGCCTTCTAGCGACAGACTCGCTGTTTACACCCCTAACACTATTAAAAATATCATTATAATATTTTTTGTAATTTTGTAATTTTGTTAACATGATTTAAATAACAAAGTGACAAATAACAATATCACAATATCATTTATGTTATTTAAAAGTTATTTGCCAACTCTGCTCTACATCAGGAAATTTTTTAAAGTAATAAATATTGATTGCTATTTAAAGCTATTAATATATTAGTAACACCCCCATCGATAGAAATTAATATAAATAAAAATTGATAGTTATTATACTTGTTTATAGAAATTGATATAATAAAAATTAATAGTTATCATGTCTATTGATGGAAATCGATATATAAAAATCGATAGTTATCAAGCCCATTGATAGAAATCAATATAGTAAAAATCAATATTTATAGTTATTGATAGAAATCAAAACAGTAAAAATTAATAGTTATCAATAGTTATCAATAGTTATTGATAGTTATTAATAGTTATCAATAGTTATTGATAAATAATATATCAATAGTAATCAATTATTAGTAAACTATTGATCATTAACATTATCAATTAAAATCAATAGAGATATTTGACAATAGCAAACACCACCATCGATTGTTATTGATTAAATTTAACCAATAATAATTGATTAGTTGTTAACAATCATTACTTATTAGCTTAAAAAATTTCCTAATATAGCCTGACCTTTATAAACCTAACTGTAATTATTGGTAGTCTCGGCTTATGCAGAGGCCTATACAGATTATAATAATACTTTTTCTCTATATATATCAGACTTTTACATTTTTTATTTTTTTATTTTTATTCTATTTAGATTATATAGTATAATTTCTAATTTTCTCTTTTCTCTTTATTTTGTTATTTTTTTTTCTTTCTTATTTTTTATAGTTTATATTTTTTATTTAATGTGAAAATAGACTAGTTATAGTCTTTTTGTAAAGATCTAAAAAGAAAAAATTTAAAGAAAAAAGGTAGTTATAACAAACTATAGATCTTAGGCTATTGAATATATATCTAGTATTCAAACTAAAAAATATACAATAGCTTTCAAGTTTTTTTGTTTAATTAAAATTTAATAAAAGTAACTTGTTATATTTTTGCTAAAACTTTTTTGAAAGCTATATTATTTTTAGAATTGAAAAATATATAATACTTTCTAGGTAAGTCAACTATAATTCCTAAATTTCTCAATTGATTAAAATTGAATAAAAGTAGCTTGGTTTATTTCTTACAAAAAACTTTTTTGAAAGCTATTGTTTTTAGAATCAAAAATATTTAACTGTTTTCAAATTTCTTAATCTTGTTATACAAGCTCTTTGTTTGACTAGTAGGTATATAATTGTTTTAAATATCTTGATTGTAAGAGTTAAAGCATATAAGATAGGTATAATAAGAAAGAGGTTACTAAAAATAAACACATTGCAATTACAAATTCACATGGTAGTTGATATATAAGTAATGATTATATTCTATATATCAAATTAATTTATTTTACTCATACAATTTATTACTAGTAATTCAATTTTAGCTGTAAATAGAATGATTTTATTAAGTCTAAAAGTCATATAGGATCTTTGCCTTGAAAATCACATTATGGGACATAGTAAAACATATTTCTCATAAGGTGATTTTCAAGGCAAATACCCATGTATTATAAAATTAATACATAAATTTATGAAAAATATAATAAATTTTGTAGAAGAAAAATATATATAACAAAAATAACATGAATAAATTGTTCAAGGTACATATGAGTGTCGCCAAAAGTAAACCCGACAATTTAAATATAGTCTATATTTAAATTGTCGGGTTTTCTTTTGGCGACACTCATATAATCCCAACTCAGGAATATAGAGTACAAACATATGATTGAATTCCAATTGAAAGGCTAGACAATATTTATAAAATGAGTAAAGGAATGTTTGATTCTGTTTTATGATTGTTTGTGAAAATAGTTCATAAGAAATTTAATAGCAACTAACAAATCGAATTAACTGTCAGCAAAATAACATGAATATGGATTTTATTGAATTTAGCATTTAAACTTCGTGAGAATTTTTTTTTATACTGATATCATTCAAATAGTCTTAACTCTGGCAGCAAACTATGTGATTAGTAGTAAGTGATTACTTATCCGTTCTAATTTTTGAATGAATAATCTAGTAACTTAGTGATAATCAAGTAAAATTTAACTCATTACAATTTATTATTCCGAGAGTCAAACCCCAAAGTTTCTGGTGATTAAGAAGAGCAACTTACAATATACTTGTGGCTAGATCTAACTATTATCTTAAGTCGAATACCATAATTTCGTGTTTGACAAATTTGATATCAGCATTGATTATTATGATTAGTTAATAAAATTATCAGCTAGCTAAAAGCTAAGAGGCTGGTTTAATCAACCTTGAAACTAGTATTTGGCAACAAAATTTTCTGTTTAAAGTTACTGAAATATTATAATTTCTTTTGATGTACCTTTACGATGCTTAAGCGCAATCAAACACTATATTACATTACTATTATTATTAGCTGGCTTGCAATTATGTGAATTACTAAAATGCACTAAATTATTACGAATAAAATAAAATCAATGAATACTGTATCCATGGACTTGAATAACTTATTTTGAATCTTTAGATTCTTCATACGCACACAAATTATTGCGAATAAAAAATTAACTACTGTATACCGAATAGTAAATATTGATGAACTTGAATAACTTAATGTTCTTTATAATCACAATATGAAATAAAATAAATAATAATCATTCATAAACTTGAATAGCTTATTCTGAAAAGTTAGATTAATAATGTTTTTATATTCACATATTAATTATCACGAAATTCAAGTAATTTGTTTAATATTAGATTAATGAGTGTTCTTTAGTGTATACGCACGATCTAAAATAAAATTAAATAATAAAAATTCATGAGTTTGAATGGTTTATTTAAATGCTTAATTAAATGAATGGAGCCGTAAAATATAAGTAAAAAATAATTTTTATCGATTTAAAACATATAATATTTATGATATAAATATGTTTTAGATAAATATATTCATATTATAAACATCAAATTTTTAAATTTATAAAATTTAATCATACCAAATTATTCGATATCAAAATTTATTACGTCCTGATATTACTATTGACATTTATCCACAGATAGTCAAAAGCAAGTAAAAAATTAAAAAAAACAATGCTTATATTAGTTCACATTTGAAATTTTAGCTAATTGCGTCATGCAATGGTAAAATAAATAATCGAAGATTTTCTTGACTTACGTGTATAATTCTATACGGATAATTAACCCAAGTCATTCAGCTGGATATTAAAAAAAATTTGATAGTGTGTAGTTAATATACTATGGTGTGTAATTCAATAATTACTGAACAGATATAAATACATATGCATAAAAGTCAATCATTTATCAATTATAAACAATTAGAACTTTGAGCGTGACCTATTGAAGCATCGGTTCCTGGTTTTAGCAACATAGTTGTGCTACCTTATGAAATTTAATAAGTGCTGTTCCATAGAGAATAAAAGGAATTATGTACCAATAACAGAAAAGAACATTAGCTACGTACCATATCGAGATATAAAATCAGGAAAGACGGAAAAGAGAAAAAATAGTGCATAAATAGCATATTTATACATAATTATAAAATTATTTTTAAATTTTTTCATCTGGATTAATTTTGGTTGTATCCAAAATTTAAAGAGTATTAACTGATCGGTTGTGGTAAATTTTTTCTTTTGACAGATATATCATTTATCGATATCAAAGTAAATAAACGCAATTGGTCACTTTGTTGTTGACTTATTGGTGAAAAAAGTAATCGTGGGGTAATCGTTTAGACGCAAGCTCTATTATGTAGATTTTTATATTTAGGGTACTTTCTGCATCAATTGACTTCTAAGGTCAACAAAAATTTATAATTTTGATCAGAGTTTATCAATTATATGATCAAAAAAGGTTTAATAAAAAAATTAACCCAGGAGTTAATACTTATATTAAGAATATGTTATATAAGTTTCTGAGAATATATAAAAATATATTTACATAGTAATTATGAAAGTGAATACTTTGCGATACAGATGAATTCCTTTTGACGAAGTAAATGACTCCTAATTATTTTTATCGTTAAAATTAATTGGTTTTTGAATTGTGACGGCATTCACAATAGCAAGATCATTATAAATTAATTTGCACTAAGCTTAAATAGATGTATCTTCGCCATCCTACTTACCTAGAAAGTGAATGTATGCATGCATAAGAAATTTTAAGAAATGCATTTTCAAACTTGGTAAGATAACCCTGACTCATTTTAAGACTTATGATTATATGTAGTAACGACTATAAATGTTACAACGATCACTTGATTTCGTTATCCCTTTCGTTCGCTCAAATAAATTTATCAAATAATTGGTTTTTTTTTTTTGACATGTCCACTAGAATCCTTTTAGTATTACCGTAAGACGTCGGATATTGAGTTTACAATAATACCTGCGTACAATACGTATGTGTACAGGTAATTTGAACACGCGGTACAGTATTACGAGAGAACATGGTTTCTTGTACCACATTTAAATTTTGTACTACAACGTATATATAAATATCGAATCACAAATTTCGTTAATGATTCTCATCAAAAATGACTAGTGAAATTTCACACAATATAACTCAAAATTTATTTAGAACCAGTTTAGAAAAAAGTATAAATAATGAAGTCATCGAGCTTTACGACTACTCTAAATTCAGCAATATTCAATATATTGGTTCAGGAACTTTTGGAAAAGTATATCATGCAGAAAGTTCAGGCTTAGATGTTGCTTTAAAATCATTTGACAATAATAACGCAATCATTGTTCAAGAAATTATAGATGAAGTAATTTGAAATATAATAAAATTTAATATTTTTTATTAAATTTATCCTTTATTATTTATGTTTAATTTTTAATTAAATCCAGCTTAAATTACACAAAAATCTTAGCATTCATAATAATATTATTAGATTTTATGGTGTTGCCACGAACGAAGGTAAGAATAATTTGAAGTAGAAGGTCCTTGTATTCAAGAGTATTTATTAATTTATTTGTGTTGGTCAAATAATTTTATAATTTATCAAGTTTCTATAATATTGAAATTCGATAACACTTCTAAAAACATTTTTTATATTATTTTATCAAAAATATTTAGACGAAGACGACTTTCAGTACCTCTTAGTTTTTGAGTACGCTGATAGTGGAACATTAAGAGATTATTTACAAATTAATTTTTATAAATTTGATTGGACGCACAAGTTAAATTTGGCGCAACAATTAATTGATGCGATAAAATTTATGCATGAAAACGATATTGTACATGGAAATCTTGTAAATATTATTTATTTAACATTTTTTTCATCAATTATTTTGGTTTAATATATTCTAATTTCTCTATTAAATTTATTAAATTTATAAATTTTATTAAATTTATAGAATTCAGACAATATTTTAGTTCATAATAATATCATAAAAATCGCTGACTTTGGGCTTTATAGAAGATTTTATAAATCATCCAACATGTCAAATAATCTTTTGAGAAACTTACCATATGTAGATCCAAAATGCCTTCAATCCAAATATTCTTATGAAATAAACAAAAAATCAAATATATATAGTCTAGGTATAATTCTATGGGTGATTTCTAGTGGTCGTCCTCCATTTGAAGCAGCTGATCAATTTTCAGAATTGGCTTTAAATATCCTAAATGGTGCTAGAGAGAATCCTATAGAAGGAACACCGATAGCTTACGTTAATTTATATACCGGTACGTGTAAGATTTAACTACAGATTTATTATTTATTAGAAAAAATGCAATTTATATTATATTTATAATTTATAAACCATAATATTTTTTTTTGCAATCAACATTATTAGATTGCTGGGAAGATGACCCAGAAAATCGTCCCGACATAAAAGAAGTTGTGAATTTAATTAATTATAAAATATTACAACAACCAGGTTTGTTCACGAATGATAAATTAGATAAATCATATGAATTTTTTAAAAAAATAGTTGAAGAATTATGTGATTTAATTATTGAAGAAAAAATGAAAGGAAAAACTGCTACAATGATTCTTGATAGAATGGAACAATTTTTTATAGAAAAACGTCAAAGACCAGAAAATATTATTGATTGGTGTTTAAATAATCAAATTAATCCTATAGTTCAATGTATTCTTGCAACTTGTTATTATTATGGGAAATGGGTGGCAAGAGATGAAAAAAAAGTTTTTGAATTTAGTCAAAAATCTGTTGAAGGTGGATTTATTGAATCTTATAATTGGCTTGGTATTTGTTATGCTGAAGGTTTAGATACTCAAGTTGATGAAAAAAAGGCTTTCGAATGTTTTCAAAAAGCTGCTAATGGTGGTTCTGCATTAGGATTTTATAATTGTGCTTATCATTATGAAAATGGTGTAGAAACTAAAAAGGATGAAATTATGGCTTTTAAATTATACCAAAAATCTGCTGAAGGTAGGTATATTGGTGCATACAACAATCTTGGTTATTGCTATGACATAGGTAGAGGAACTGATGTTGATAAAAAGAAAGCATTTATATATTATCAAAAGGCCGCTAAAGAAGGTTTAGCTGCAGGACAGTATAACCTTGCTGTTTGTTATTATGACGGTGATGGGACTAAGGTGAACAAAAGAAAGACTTTTAAATTATACAAAAAATCTGCAAAGGGTGGGTACACGTTTGCGTATAAACAACTTGGTGAATGTTATAATTTTGGAATAGGAACTAGGATCGATGAGGAAAAGGCATTTGAATGTTATCAAAAAGCTGCTGATGGCAGCTCAAATAAGATAATGTAGTGATACAATAAACTTAGTTTTTTTTTTTATATTAATTAAATAGGTTTATGTAGTTTTAACTTAATATTTGTATCAACGTTTAACACTTAATTACTAAATTTATAATATAATAGCCTTAACAATATTAGTTAATAATAAATTTTTTAAATAAATAAAATCTTAAATAAATATTTCTTATATACAAAGGTAAATACGATATAGGTATTATGACGAAGATGAAAGATGCTTAGATATGAATTTGTTCTATATGAGCGTCGCCAAAGAAACTCGTACATCTAAGTATAAAACTTTATATATAGAACATATAATGGGTGCTTTCAAAAATTATTAATCAGAATGCAAGAGACGTATTCTGGGAAGTCTGGAATCTGTGCCAGGTTATGACGACAATTGCCGATTGTAGTCAAAATTCGTAAACTATTCTAACTATAGTACTGTATGACTTCTAATTAAAAATTTCAGCATGAAATTTAACTGTATATGTTAGACGTCACTTTCAAATTTCCGTCAATTAAAAATTGACGTACGTAGCTTCGAGATTGTAAATTAAAGTACTTCATATTTTAATCGGTATCAATATGATTTTATATTAAAAAAAAAAAAAATTCGTATTCAAGCAATATGTGTCATTTGTGGATCTTGTAGGAGAGGTGTCTTTCGATCGTTTTCTTGCATTTACTGGATCTACGTAAAACCTTAACAATAATCAAAGTCTTCACGTGCTATAAATGTTTTACTAGTCGATTTGCTGCTAAGATATTTGAAAAGCACTTCTTCAAATGCATTATGAGGCAAAAATGGAAATAATAAAACAATAAAAAATTTGAATGTAATTTATTTAACAATTGTTACGTCAATCAATTATACATTTACTGTGGTATCAAATTTAAATCAAATTTACGGCTATCTAATTTAGAATCAACTTGATTGCATTTTAAATTTCGTATCAACTTGGGTTACATTTGGATTCGAAATACACGATAATTCCATTTCAACGCGACATATATATCAATTTTATCATATGAGCGAAAGTTTTTGATGTAATGTTGTATTATAAAATTCAAATCACTAAAATTAAAATTCCGTTACTTTACTTTACTCATGAACAGCGTATAAAAACTGATAAGTAACTGATAAGTAACTCATAAGCAATTCATAGGTAATTTAACAATCATTGGCAAATAATCACTTTAATCTTAGTAATCACGCTATATCATATATATTATTGGCTCAAATTCTATGTAATCTCATCATTCAATTTACAAAAATTGAATCCATTCGTATGATTCGTAGAACATTGTGATTATTTAAAATTAAATGTGAACTAAATTACTATAGGGTAACTGTATAAAAACTGATAAGAGCTCGTGAATTATCTAAGGACCCATAAAGTAAACTATATAAAAACTGATAAGTAACTTATAAGAAATTTTACGATGATTGATTAAAATATTACTTTTAATCTAAGTAGTAGTCACTCCAAATCTTGTATATGATTGGTTCAAAAAACTTTTATGCATAATAAAAATTATTAAAACTGGACGTATGCCGAAATCACAAACTTAATCGAATCGGCTGAAAAATTATTCGGCCAATTTTTATCAGAATTATGATAATAGCAGTAAAAACCTACCCGGTTATTACTGCTGTTTTCATTATTTTTGGGACAAAATTGACCGAATGATTATTTGGCCGATTCGATAAGGTTTTGATTCGGCAGTGATAAACTTTTATATAACAATAATGATATATAATTTTTCGCTTGAATGTATGTCCAGTATGTTTAGTCTGTACGAAAATTTATGTCGAAGATTGTTCTTGCCAAGCAACAGATTTGACAAAAAAGGTTCCGAATATAAGATGGCTTTCATAATAAATATATTACTAATAAAAAACAAGTTCGATATGAAGTTATAATTCCAAACAACCAAGTTTTTATTAATATTTTTTGTCGAAACTGCATTGAAATTATAAACAAAATCATAGTAATAAAATTCTAAAAAAGTATTTTATTTACTTATGTAATATAAATTATAATGAATTTTTAAACACATAGACCAAAAAGCAAAACAGTATGAATTAGATGAAAAGCCATTAGCTTATTTGTCTATGATAAACATTTTAAAAATGGCTAGTTTTTCTGAAATAATTGCTATTGAATCTGAAATATCCAACTTGTTTGAAGTAATAGCAACTTAATCTAGTATAATCTGAAGCGCAAAATAGTGATATCGATATACATTATCTCTGTCATTAGAAAGATATGCATATTACGCAATCGCTCATTACCGAAATCAAAAACTTATTGAATCGGCCAAAAAACAATCATTCGGTTAATTTTTACCATATGTCCCAAAACTAATGAAAACAGCTGGCCGGGTTATGAGAACCGATTACAGCTATTTTCATAATTCCTGGAATACCTGATAAAAATTGGCCGAATTATTTTTCAGCCGATTCAATTAAGTTTGTGATTTCGGCATGATCCGTATAATAAAAGCTATTTTTGTTTCATAAGACCGTTGTAATAATAATGTCAACATTATTAAACTTATGTTTAATGTGTCAATTAAGTCTTAACAAGAAATATATTAATTAGACTTTTATAATAAACATATTGCACGAAGTACATAAATAAATATTTGTATATACAAGTTGCAAGTTGGTTCGTAGCCCTTCAAATTGTCATAACGTCTAACAAGAGTTCCATCTCGAATTGTGGTTCTGAAAGTGACGGAAACTTTTAAATACATCCATATTTTTGAAAGTGATTAAGAACCCGACTTATAAAAGATAAGTGTTTGGTAATTTTTCGAAATGATATGCCTCTAAATTTTTTTTCCAGCGAAGATACTTTGAAAATATCATATTTCTGTAATCTACCAGAGATAATTGTCGCGGTGCTTGTCAATACCCATGTACTTGTAGCGCCAGGGTTGGTTAGCGGTACCCAGATCGGGTACGTGTTGATCGAATATTGTGATCGGGGTTTGCATGAATGGCATGATCCCGATTTAATTGAAAAGTTTAATATAGTGATTGCATGAACAATATAGTAATTAGCGATTAAAATTAGTATTGCATGCATGAATAATGTAGTAATCATTAGCGATGAGAATGTCTGTAATAATTAGTGACGCAATGTGTATTATTAGTAATTAATAAAAGGCATCGGGGAAGTGCCTAACTTTCGTTCTAGTAATTACCTTGACAATTAGTGAATAAACTGTGGTATCTGTGTGAATACATTATCGGTGGTAGTATCTGGTACGATACTCCAGTCGTCATAAAATAGCCGTGCGAGTGAAGTTTGATAGTAAAGACCCACGAGTATAAGGTAGTCTTAGAAACTACGTGACAATAATATTTCATTACGGCGAATTTGTAAAATACCCAAAATTTGACCACCTATTGTGAGTCATTTAATTGACTTCACATATATGTAATGTTATTCCACGTTTCTATATGATCGCATGACGGGGTTTTACGACTTATAATCACTAGTTTAATCAGTAAAGAAAACCAATTTTCTAGTAACCCATGTTATTTCCCCGGCAATGCTTGTTATTTCCCCGGCAATACTTGTTATTTCCCCGGGTGTACTTTAAATTCTCTTAGATGAAAAAAGAATACTATTTAGATCGACAGTATTAAGTTAAGCAAATCGCTCAATAAAATTAATATCGCATTTTATTATAAAATCTTAAAAATACATTTAAGAATGTTTAATCGTGATATCAACACTAATATTTTTACAGTTATTAATGTTAATTTGGGGCATTACACTATTATTTAAAGGCTTGTTATGATCTTTATTATTACTTTCTTGTAATGCGGGGCTTGTTTGTTTTGAGGAAGTGCGATATGGAATTTTAAAAGGTTTAGACCAGTCGTGTGGAGTTTTGAGAACCTTGCGCTTTTTTCTAGAATTATGAGAATTCGATTCTACATTTGATGGTAATGGAGCTAAGGGAATTTTTTCTATATTTAAAAAAAAAAATTCTCAATTTCTTAATTTATTTTATTAAAAAAAAAAAAAAAATCTTACTTTTTTTATTTGCATCCTCATTTTTATTGCCATCATTATGACTTTCTTCCTTATTACCATAATCTTTATAATGGCTTTCTTTCTGATTACTAGAATATTCTTTATTGTGATCTTCTTTCTTATCGTTATTGTTGAATTCAGAAGAATTGCGATCTGGAATAATTAAAAACACCGTATTATGCATTACTTGTGGCGTAAAAGTTTGGTAAGACATTACACCATTAAGAGTACGATGTCCTGAAAAAGGCATTATACGATCGGTAGCAACATTTAATTCAGTAAGAATCTGAATAGCAGTACGGCGTAATGAATGGTTTGTGATTTTCCTTAAGTGTATTGATATTCCTGTAACTTTACAAATTTCACGAATCATATTTTCATAAGAGTGCCATCCAAGAAAATTATTAACAAACCAAATACCATACAAATTGTCTAAATAAATTAAAATTTAATAGTATAATTTTATAGTTAACAAAAATAACAATACAATTAAAATACCTT